CTTCGCCTCGACGACCTCGTGTCCTGGTGCTTCACTCGTTACGGTCTGCTGCCTGACCGGAGCACTGTTGGAAAGATTTTGAAGCACGAGGCAAAATGGGCGGCAGCTCCAACCCAGCAGAGGAACATTCGTGTTCGTCACGGGCAGTATCCTTCACTCGAGGCTGAGCTTAAGGCGTGGATAAAAAATACCGGCCCTGCAGGTATTCCACTAACGTTGGCGCTTATTCAAATCAAGGCCAAACAGCTTGCGCAAATTATTGGTCTTCCGGTCAGTTTCAAATGTTCGCTGTCTTGGATCCACAAAGCGGTGAATCGCATGGGCTTAAAAAATCTGACACGCAAGGGTGAAGCAGTAGATGCTGACATGGCTGACGTCAACTGGGCTCGCGTGAAGCTCCCTGAGCTGCTGCTCCTGCTTGGTGTGCATCTGAAGGACCTGTTCAACCTCGACGAGACAGCACTGTTTATCGCATTCCAGCCGAGGAAAACGTGGGCTGACGACACAGCGGTCGGCCGCAAGGCTGCAAAGGACCGTGTTACTGTCGACTTCACGTGTAGCACCGACGGCTCGTCAATGCTGAAGCCAATGATAATCTCCAAGGTTCGCCGCCCTCGCGACCTCAACGAAACCAATTTCGACCCTGAGCCGTGGGTGCACTGGCGTTACAACCAGAAGGGGTGGATGACTAGCGAGGTAAACACGCATTCAAATCGCCCATCCCGGCCTTCCATTCCCTACGGAACCTGTACATTTGTGTCTGCTGCTATTTTTCACTCGTCGTTTCGTACACACTATCCTTTTTCTTCCAGCTGCCATTCGTTCCGGATTTCCACTATAGTCTGAGTAACAGTATGGCCCTTTTTTTAATACCGTTATGTAGGTTTTCATGGCGTACATGGAATCCCTCAACGCTGCCATGTTCGCTGAGGGAAGATCGATCGTCCTCCTCGTCGATAACGCGTCGAGCCATCGACTCGACACCGTCGGCGCGATCACCGAGGACATTCTCGGTTTTAGGACTCGGAAGCTGGGTAACCTGCGCATCGTCTACCTACCTCCCAACATGACCTGCTTCATCCAACCGCTGGACCAGGGCATAATTGCCACGACTAAGGCCCGTTACCGCGTCGCGTATCTCGCGATGCTCATCCAGCTATGGGAGGCGAACGGCTGTCCAACTGAGCTTCAGCGCTTCAAGCCGAAGATGTCGCAGGTCATCCGCTGGATCCACGACGCGTGGTTCAGCATCGACCAGAAAACGGTGGAGTCGTGCTGGTGGCACACTCGCATCCTCCCCGCGACTTGGATGCCCGCCCCCCAGGCCGATGAGTCACCGGTGCGTGACCCCGCCGACACCGAACCGGATTTGGAGTCGCTGGCGTTGATCATTCCGCGCCTTCAGTTCGGGAGCGCGGCGATGGCAGCAGCTGACTTCCTGCGCATCGACGAGAACCACCCCACATGCGACTTGGAGGGCGTGGACCCGCTCGCTGCAGAGCCTCGCCGCACTGCCACTACCGGCCCCCGGGAGGCGCCGTTCGACTTTGATGGGGGGCGGGCATTGCGTCGTGTGGCCCGTTGAGCATCCGAGATGCTTGTCGGGTTTGCGCATGCATCGGGCATCAGCCCGAATGATCTGCGCCACCTATTCGACATCCGCAACCCCGTGGTTGTCGACAGGTTGGTGCGGGCGTCGGCCAATGCCCTGAACCTTAACCTCCCCCCTCCCACCCTCCCACTCACGGTCAACATGCGAGATGACCCTGAGACCGTTGCGGGACGGCAAATTCTGCTGCGCGCGGCTGGTGATCTAGATGGCCACGCTGACAACTCCGACTGGCTCAGCTACTAAAGTCGGCAGCCGCGTGGCCATCCAAGTCAGCTACTGGGTGGACCAAGTCTTTCCCCCGTCCATCCCAGCGTCATACCTGAATCCGTCCCCTTCCCTCCACAATCTGTTTCCCTTATTTGGTGCACTATGTTGTGCTTGATTTGAAATGGTGCCCTTGTAGCAACTCTCTGTGGTGCGTTCTACTCTTGTTCCCCCTTTGTTTCGTAGCTGACACGCTTTGTTTGTTTTGGGAGGTTGAAGTTACTGCTAGGCTAGAGCATCCTGTCCCAGTCGAGTGTTGGTTCAGTTTGTGTCCGACGTGGGAGGTTCTTGAGAGTGGTGTGGTTGTGGTTGGTGTGGTTTCATGTAGCGTGACACGTTTGCCAATGTTGTAATCAGTAACTTTTTCAGGACCGTATCATTTCTAGGTGGTTCGCATAACCCCCAAAACACCAACGCAGCGTACAAAATATTGAGCCATGCTCGCGAAGTTCGCGGGCATTTTGACGATGTCCCATTGGCGAAAATCGTAACCGCGTTGTTTCCACATAGGTTAAGCGAATCCCGCCCGTCATCATTACGAACACACGATTCATTACACGTTAATGTCGACTTTGCCCCTACGGTTCAGTTTCCAAGTTTGAGTCGCAGGCCGCGTGAAAAAACAGAGAGCTTCAAACGTAGAACAGGTGTACATGTAACACGGTCTTGATTTGCCATGCCATAGTGATTTTGGACTGCACCTGTTGGAGAAAAATCGGCTCCAAACCTTTTAGGCACTGCATGAGCAAGCTATACCTAGCTCGCGTTAATTTCACACCTAATAGTTTTACACGGTTTGCCACGGAGAGCGTATTCACCCCCCAAAAACAGCTCCTGAAGACCAGATCCAGATACCCTTGAAGAACAAATTCAGTTTGGATTTCTATACAAGACGTTTACTGATCGATCTAGTGTTTATCGAGTCAGGAAACACGACGTCAGCTTAGGCAGTGCTCAAAGTTCTTTCCCGCATAGAGTCATTCGCGCTTAGACCGTAGGAACAAGGGAGCACTATTTACGCACTCATAAATGGTCAGGTTAGAAATAAAAGTTTTGTTGCCGCCCAATTTCATGGTGTGTAATTTTCTCGGGCTAGGTGTAAACTCTTGGGCCGACTTCGGCTGATGGCCCAACTTCAGATGGGCCCTCAATCAAGGCCTGGAGGGAGTGGGGTAGAGGAAGAGGTATGGGTATCTCTGTACTGCAAAATCCCAGACTTGTCGTCTGGACTCGATTTGTCTCTCTGAATACCCGCCCTACTAGGTAGATGAAAGTTTAACTACCAGAGCTCTTCAAAAGTCTAGCATAAGCTCTAATTTGGACCCTTTTCTTTAAGCGTGCCTGAGGATATCACTCTAAATAACAGGTTGAACATGGTAAATTTTCCTAACTTTCTGGGGCGTATCCAGCATCCCTAATCACGGTTTAGTAGGGTATCACAAGATCAAGATCGGTTTTCGTGCTTTACTGCTTGGAAACATTCCTCTATTTCAGACTTGAGAGGAAATTCATTTAAGATTTGCGAACTCCAAAGCTTAGAGGGAATTCATTTGAGAGTTGCGAACACTGACTTCATTGCGCGGGCATTGTAACCCTAAATACGCCAAAGAATTCTTCAACCAATAATGTAAAGAAGACGCGTATACTTTTTAACTTGGCTTGGAAAATTTCTAATCTGGCGCATTCCAACTTTCTAGTTTGCTGCGCTAGGGTGAAGTCGTGATTACGTATCTGCAAACCCGCATTGGTTGCCGTTGTAAACCGCTTGCGATCGCTGTGGGTCGTCGCCCTATCCGCAGACACCAGTACTTCCAAGAATGAACGTTGGCCTCTGTTATACATTAATGGTAAGCATGTCTATTTGATGTCTGATTGGCTGGTTACATGTTTTCCTTCGTACGTCGCGTTTGCATGTAGGAAGAATTGCACGTATGAAATACTTGTTCTAGTCGTCGATGCACTAATACACATAGCACGCGATATTTTCACAACCATTAATTTCATACGGGATGCCGCCAAGAGGGTATTCTTCCCCCAAAAGCAGCTCCTGAATACTAGATCCGGTTACCCTTGAAAAACAATTTGAGCTTGGGTTTCTATACGAGATATTTACTGCTCGATTTAGTGTTTCTCCTGTCAGGAAAACCAACATCAGCTTAGCCAGTGTGCAAAGTTTTTGCCCACGTGGAGTTTGCCAAGCTTAGGTCGTAGGAACTGTCGAAGCACTGTCGAAGCACTCAGAAATGGTCAGGGGGGAAACAAAAATTTATTTGGTCGCTCAGTTTCAGGGTGTTATATTACCGCAGGCTAAGTGTAGCAGATGTCTTGTTTGTCTTATTTCTGTCCAAAATGGCAACCCTTACAGTACCGCGGGCACGCCCGCAATGCTATCCCACCCGTCCCAAGGCCTTGTCATTGTGTGTGAGGTGAAGTCAGCGCAGGCCAACCATCCGCATTCCGATGATGTTTGCACGCGCATCGCAGACATCTCTCACCCAGGCCTAATGTTTCAAGGAGAATTACCCGGATTTAATTTCTGTTCAGAGTTTCTCTGGGGTCCAATCCGGATTTTTTAGGAGTGACTTACACTGGGGTTCCGGAGAATGTACAAGTGTACTTGGGCCCAGTTCCAAAAGAATCACAATGCCCCTGTGGCCCAACCCGGAGAAATTTCCCCCACATCCCCCCCCCTTCCCTACCCAACCCCCAACACCACACCATACCCAGCTCTCCCCTTGCACTGTCACCTCACTTAAAACGGGATGAGCTGCCCCCCTCTTCCCCTTGTGCTGTCATCTCTCTCTCTCTTCCCTCACTTGTTGCTATCACTCCAATATTTGGCTAAACGGGATGAGCAGTCTCAGCATGTCATTGGTGCAAAGTCACACAGCACAGGGGAGAACCTCTGTCAGAATAACTCGAGCCTCTTTTCCGGATTAAACATAATTCACCAGTCCCCCAACTCGGACGAAAAAGAGTGGGGATGGGTGGAAACCCGGGAGAAACACACCCTCCCAAATCCTTAGCCTAGGCCCTGCTCTCACCTCAAGATGTGAGATTTCAAGGCGTGGCATCGTTCGCTTCGTCCTTTGGCTAGTGGCTTTCTGCTTGGATGAAAGGCTGGCATGATCTGCGTGACATCTCCTGCCCACCCCGACTGGTGACTTCCGTTCCTCGACGTGATCCTCCTCTCGGAGACATGCCTCGCGCCATCATCCAGCACTCAGCACTGGCGGATCCTTTCCTTGCCGCGTCACATCCAGTCCATGCATTGAAAGCGGTTTGTTTTTTTTTTTAACCAGCCGATACCTTTCACCGCTGGCAGCGTCTCATATTCACCACCACCACCCCGCATGTTCCTCCCCACTCGCATGGATAAACCCCCTCGAAAGCATCTCCGACTAGCGCAATGACGTCCCTCCCTGCACCTCCAGCGACGCAAGCCTCATTTCTTGGCATACGTTTAGTTCACTGTGCCGTCGTGCTCGTTCTCTTGGCGCTAGCGCACCTTGCGCGCGTCCCCCGCCATCACGATCCGCTTGAAGCCGCGTCTCAGGCGTCCCTGGAACCGCCCATCAGCGCCGATCTTGCCGCCGCCGCCTTCTCGCGCGGGCTCCTCGCACTGGCATCGTGGAACGAGGAGGCGGCGGGGCGCAGCGGGAAGCAATGGGAGCAGCACGAGTCCTCGGAGGAGGGAGAGCGGCAGCCGCACGAGAAAGAGCAGGGTTTTCGAGGAGATTCGCGGATTACTCGCGTGGCTGCGTTCAACGTGGATCGCGCAGTGATCTTCCTCCACCAGCGAAGGCAGAAGCAAGGGCGGGAATTGCGAGCAGCGCGATTCCGAGTCGTGCCGCTTGCCGCGCCACCGGAAGCAGGCAACGTGACGTGGGACGACCTCTACCCGGAGATGAACTACGACCGCTCCAACTTCACTTGCCCTGCTGTGCCCCGCGCGCCGTGGGAGGAGAGAGACGAGACGCATGACGTGGCAGACGCCGTGGTCGCGGTGGTGCCGTGTCGCCCGGCGAAGGACTCGCTGGCGAGGGACGTGCGATGGCTGCAGCTGATGCTGTCGCTCGCACGCTTCGCCAGTCAGGTGCGGGGGAATGCCATTCCCGGAAATGGAAGGGAATGCTGTGCCAGTCAGGGTAGTATGTAGGCACGGATTGGGGTGTTGAAGCGTGGCGAAGTGGCTAACCAAGTTGGTCCGTTGGCAGCTCCTCCTGTGCCTCGCACCTCCTCATTTGCACTCTGTACCTCTCTCCCTCCTCCCACCCTCCGCTGCTGCTCTCCCCTCTGGCAGTCCCGCCGTCCCTGGATGCCCATCGTCATCGTCTCCTCCTGCCGTCCGCCGCCCAACCTTTTCCACTGCCGCTTTCTCGCGCGCGCGCAGCCATCTCCGTTTGCCGCTGTGAATGGAGGGGCGGAGGGCGATGTGTGGGTGTACAACGTGACGGCACGCGACATGCGCGCGCGCATCCAACCCGCGGGGTCCTGCGCCTTGGCGCAACCCACCGCCCACGGCGCCGGTACCATTCTCCGCAACCTCCTGGACCCGAATTTCCGTCGTCCCCTTGTCGTCTGTCGAAAAGATCCGTCATATCCCTCGACTTTTCAGTCGTCCCCTCACACCTCCTTCCGCGCGCCCTCCGCTCTTCCCTTCCAGCCGTCGCGCGACCCCCCTCGTCGGGCCGTCCACGCTTCGCCTTCGCCACGATGCTGCACAGCAAGGACGACTACGCCTGCGGCGCCATCGTGCTCGCGCACTCCCTCCGCGCCACCGGCCTCGCGCTGCCGCCCTCCCTTTTCACCAGCGCCCCTGCAGGCAGCGACTCCAGAGAAGCAGGAGGCGGAGCGCAGCGCTTTGAGGCGGAGCTGGTGGCGCTGGTGTCGGCGGAGGTGGGGGCGGAGAGCCGGAAGGGGCTGCAGGCGGCGGGATGGCGGATCGTGGAGATCGAGCGCATCAGGAACGTGTGGGCGAAAAAGAGGAGCTTTAAAGAATGGAACTACAGGTGGGCGCGCATGTCAAGCGGGATGGCTCACGCCCTGTGGAAGAACAGGGACATGAGAAATGCAAAACCACCTCCCCCCCCCCCCCCCCCCCCCCCTACTAATTGCTGGGACCAGAATAGGTAATCGGTTCACCGTAGGTACAGCATAGGTACACGGTTTTCGGAGTAGCCATATACGGATAACAATAGCTGTGTGGATGAGAGGCACATTTTCCAACCAGGTTGGCGAAGTCGTCCCCTTACTATTTTGTATGAGTCGACGAGAGGGAGGTGAGAGGAGGAGGAGGAGACGCAGAAACTCGCTCCAACACACGTTTCTCACCACATTCCTCTCCTCTCTCCCGCTCCCGACCGTGACCCTCTCCCCTTCCCCTCTCCTTCCGGCAGCACGCTGCGGCTGTGGCAGTTGACGGAGTACAAGCGCGTTGTGTACATGGATTCTGACATCGTCGCCCTGCGCCCGCTCACGCACCTTTTCCTCTACCCCGAGATGTCCGCCGTCCTTAGTATCGAATCCCGCTTCAATGCCGGCTTCATGGTCATCGAGCCCGTGCTCTGCACGTTCCACTTCCTTATGGCGCACATCCGCACCATCGTGTCCAGCAATGGCGGTGCCCAGGTGCGTGTGCTGCTGTCTTGAAAACACTGGACGATGGGAGTCATGGGGTAATGCATTTGCATGGTTGGGAGCCACAGGGGTATGCATTTACATGGTTGGGAGCCACGGGGGTATGCATTTGCATGGTTGGGAGCCACAGGGGTATGCATTTGCATGGTTGGGAGCCACGGGGGTATGCATTTGCATGGTTGGGAGCCACAGGGATATGCATTTGCATGGTTGGGAGCCACGGGGGTATGCATTTGCATGGCTGGGAGCCACAGGGGTATGCATTTGCATGGTTGGGAGTCACGGGGGTATGCATTTGCATGGTTGGGAGCCACGGGGGTATGCATTTGCATGGTTGGGAGCATTGTTGCTTCAAATTCAATGCGGACTGGTGGACCCACCAGTTCGAGGTGCGTCAGGTACCATGCAGAAAAACACCTAAAGAAAGTGAATCTTAATCTATTGAGACAAGCCAACTGCAATTCACAACTGTAATATCCTCCATATGATACAACCCCATCTACGGCCTTGGCATGGCATCCCAGCCTGTCGACGAGGGATCACAGCTACTGCACCGCTCTGACAATTCCAGTGCCTGTCTGAGGCACCGATGCTGCCGCTTCCTCCATGTTGTTCACAGACTCCTCTTGCGTGCTTGACACCAGGGGTTAGGGTCGTGAACGACACGGAAGTTCACGCCAGTGATTGTTGTCTGCTTGGCAGTCGGCGATGCAAAGCCAAGTAGTGGCATTCCCACCTCTTCCCCTTCCTTCAGCTTCCCACCTCCCCTCCCCTCCCCCTTCCCAACCAGAACTTTTTTAACAACGTGTTCACGTGGTGGCACCGCCTGCCGGAGTCCAGCAACTTCCTCAAGCTCATCGGGACGCCGCAGGGCCACCCTGGTCGCGACCAGGAGGTGGCGGCCCAGACTGCTCTGTTCTCAGCTGACCCCCCCCAGCTGCACGCCATTCACTACTTGGGGCGCAAGCCGTGGTACTGCTTCCGCGATTTTGACTGCAACCACCTGCTCCCGTACATGCAGAAATTCGTCAACGACGCGGCACACAGGCGCTGGTGGCAGGTGCACGATGCCATGGACGAGAGGCTCAAGCCCTGGTGCTTGCTGACGGAGGAGCAGAAGAAGGGGCTGTGGGGTGCCATGGAAAAGCGCAGACAGGAGGGGGCTGACCCTGAGATGTGGAACTTCACAGTCACCGATCCGAGGAAAGACCTGGCGCTGCCTTGGGGGGTGGAAGTAGGTGGGAGGAAAGGTGGCCAACGAACATGGAGCGAGTGGCTTGGAGGTCGGAACTGGCACTAGTAGCAGCTCGTTGACCTCAAGACACGAGAGCAGGGAGGGAGAAAGACATGCGGGCAGGGAGGGAGAAAGTCATGAGATATGTTGAGACGTCTTTGTTGTTTTGGGTGTATGCATTATATCTTTGTTATATAATTGGGAGGCTTGGTAGTTACTGAAACCTTCTGTAGAGGGTACAACCCCCCTCTTTGTATCCCTCTCTTCTATTCTCCCTCTCTTTTCTCTCGTAACTTCCTCTCCTGGCTAAACCTCACGCCATTCCATGGCCGCCTACTCCTATCGTTCAGGGAGGGAGAAAGACATGAGATCAGGGAGGGAGAAGGACAAGAGAGCAGGGAGAGGGAAAGGCATGAGAGCAGGGAGGGAGAAAAACTTGAGGACGAAGTCCCCGGTGGATGCACAACAAGCAACCCTTGCTGCTATTGAGGCATCCCAATGAAAGCATATGCAGCTGGAGAAATTCCGGCTACAGAAACACCTACTTGTTTTGTAAATATTGTAGGAGTTGTAACACCTATGGGTCCAGTTGTTGAGGAAGTTGTTCTAGGTGATGTCGATCCAGTCATTTGTAGAGATGACAATAATTTGAGATAGCTCTCATACCATAAAATAATTTGTAAAACGGTGCAGAAGACTAAGTACGGAATGTGCAGACACAAGTACTTGAAGTAGAAAAGAATACTGAAATTACATCTAGTAACAGTCAGTATTACTTATAGCCTTGTGATACTTCAAGACTTGAGCAAAGATCTTTGCTGTAATGGTAGACTAATAAGACATTCTCATGCCTACCTTAGCTTTTTAGCTCCTTCTAACATGGTTTCAGAGCACGATGATCTTGCTAAGCCTCCTATTCACGCTTCCGCCGCGTACTGTCTCCTCTCCTTTCACTTTGGCGCCCCCATGGCGAGCTCCATGTGCTGCCGTGTCGGCCTCTCTGAGCTGCCACGACGACCTCGTCGAGCAGCCGTGGCGGCCTCGACCCATGGCGGCCTCGTCGAGCAGCCGTGGCTGCCTCGCCGCGGTGCCGCGGTGTCCTAGTCGTGCTGCCGTGGCGTCGTCGTGCTGCCGCGGTGGCTTCGATGCGCCAGCGCACGGACGGCTGCGGCCAGCGCCCTGGTTTAGGTGTCAGCCAGCACGCCTGCACGCCAGCAAGTGCCGCACCTGCCACGGCGCCTCGCTGAAGACACGCCCGTTCCCCTGCGTTTCCCCTCATCCCAGCCGCAGCTGATGGCTCCCTTTCCCGTCGTCGCCGGGCCGTGCCACGCCGCCGGGTGTCGCAGGCTTCGCAGTCGCCGCCGCCGTCGTCGAAGCCACCGCCGCCGTTGCAGGTGCAGCTGGCTCCGCCGTCACCCGCCACCGTCGCCGTAGCCACCGCCGACGCCGTTGCTGCCACCCACCGCCGATGTCGCCATTTCGCATGAAGGGTATAAGCTGTCAAACATATATTGTTATGTTTGTATAGACTGTATAGGTTTGTGCCTTAGAGGGTACAGCTCCTAGGTTATATTCCCTTGTACTCTCCCATTCTAGTTTATTCTCTCAGTTTGATATGGTATCATGAGTAGGTTAGGTCCATCTAGCCCGCTCGCGCTTCCGCCCTAGGCCCTAGCCGCCCCCGCGCCCGTTCCTAGCCGGCCCCTTGCATCCCTCGCGCCCGCCCCTAGTGCCCTCGCGCCCGTCCTAGCCGGCCCCATGCGCCCCCGTCGCGCCCGTTCCTAGCCGGCCCCGCGCGCCCATCGCGCCCGTCCTAGCCGGCCCCTCGCGCCGTAGCGCCCGTTCCTAGCCGGCCCCACGCGCCCCCCCTCGCGCCCACCCCTCATCGGCCTCGCGCCCGGTCCTAGCCGGCTCCTCGGCCTTGCACCAGTTCCGAGCCAGCACCGACATCGTTTCGTCGCCGGCCCACCTCCGACTCGTGCTCGGCCCGTCCTACCCGACTTGCACCGCATTGCATCGCCCGGCACTGCACTACACCGCTCTGCACAGCACTGCACTGCACCGCTTTGCACCGCACTGCACCGCTCTGCACCGTACAGCACCGCACTGCACCGCCCTGCACCGCACTGCACCGCTCTGCCCCGCTGTGCCCCGCATTGCACCGCACAGCACAGCGCAGAACCGCCCTCCCTCGCTGCTGCACCGTCCTTGATGGCGGACGTGCTTCGCTTCGACGCTGAGGGCCAGCCGCTCGAGTTTGACGCGTGGCTGGTCGACCTCCACCGCCATCTCACTGGTCAGCGGCAGGATGGCCACTCGCTGTCTGTCCACCTTGACGGTACGCTTCTCTACCCTAACCCCCATCCTGCGCTCCCCACCCCTCGTCTGCTGAGCGTGAGTCCGCTGCAGCTGCTGCCCTTGCTCGCTCAGTCTGGTTGTCACGTGACGCCGTTGCGCAGCTTGCGATCAGTCATGCCCTCCCCCTCTCTGAGCGCCCTCGCTTTAAGTCGATCAAGACTGCGCAGGAGTTCCTAGATGCTGTTGTCCAGCGCTATTCCACCCCGCCCGCTGCTTCCGTAGGTCGCTTGATCCTACCGATGCTCTTCCCTAATCTTGCGTCTTTCCCCACTGTCGCTAACCTGGCCGCTCACCTGCGCACGATAGACGCGACCTGGCACTCTGCCTGCACTGAGACCTAGCTTAGAGCCCATCAGCCGCCCCTCTGTTCCGCCCTCTACTTGCTTGCCACTCGCCTCCCTGATCGCCTTGCCCATGCCCGCGACCGCTTTCTTAGCATCCACCCTGGTGACCTCACCCTCACCGACTTTGTTGACACCCTGACTGCCATAGAGACCCGCCAGCGCTCTATCGCCCAGACCAGCGATACTGTGCCGGTCCCTATCTTTCAGGGTTGTGTCCCTACTCGGTGCACCTCCTCAGACGGTTCCGCTGCTGTGCCTGAGACTGTAGCTGCAGCGCAATTCTGTCCGGGGAAGGGTCGCCGCCCCAAGGCTGGGCGCGACGGAGGGGGTGGCGGTGTAGGTGGAGGTGGTGGTGGAGTCAGGCCACCTGGTGGTGGCGCGGACGAGGGGACTGTGCCTGGTGCAGCCGAGCAGCCGTCCCATCAGCTGCAGGCGTTGCAGCTGGATCAGCATCAGCCGCAGCATCACCCTCAGCACCAGCCGCAGCAGTCGCAGTAGCCGCAGCAGTCGCAGTAGCCGCAGCAGTCGCAGCAGCCACAGCAGAGGAGGGCGGGTGGTCTCCCGCCCTGGTGGCCTGGCGCTGGTGGCGGCAGTGGACATGGTGGTGGCCGTGCACTTGGTGTGCCTCCGGGTGGCATTTCGGGTGACGGGCACTGTCAGTACCAGCTTCAGACCGGTCCTCGCCGCAGCTCCGTTTGCGGTAAGATAGGTGACACTCCCGTCCGCTGTTTTCGTCGCCTAGACGACCTGTTTCGTCTTCGCTTCGGCCCGTCGCCCGACCTCCCCGACAGGTACAGCTTGCTTCGCCGTAGTATTCCGATCTTTGATCTGGACATGGATGAGCTTAGCTCTGCCTTGTATGTGTTGTATGCTGATGACTCTAGTGTGACTGGTTCTTACTATCCCGTGTTGCCTAGTGTAGGTGTGTCTAGTCTTGCCTCCCCTGCTGCGTCAGGCGTAGGATCCCCTGCCTTGTTTAGCCTTGGTTCCTCCCTTACTGCTCCGACTCCGACCGCCACTATTGCGCTCTCCTTCACCCTGGACTCTGGCACTTCCCGTTGTTTCTTCCGCGACTCCACTACGCTGACGCCACTTGCTGACCCCTCCTCCGCTCCGGTAGTCGCCCGTAGTTCCACCACCCTTCCCTGTCCGGCGGCTCCTTCGGGCTCTCTTACAGGCTTGCACGTCCCCTCGTTTTCCAGGAACCTAGTTGGTGTTGGCTGCCTCCAGGACCTTGGCGTCACTACTACGTTTCCTGGTCACGAGCGGTTTGCTGTCTGTACCAAGGCTGCCACTGGTGCTCCCCTCACCACGTTCCCCCGGGACCCGGTGTCTGGCCTGTTCACACTGGACATTGCGCCCCCCTCAGTTGGAACGTCCCCCCAGGTAGCTGCGTCTTCTCAGGTTGCTGCGGCCTGCTCGTGTCGGTCGCTCACTCACCCGACACTCTTGTGGCACCACCGTCTAGGTCACCCTGCGCTCCCGCATCTGCGTCACATGTCACAGCACTGTCTTGTCCTCGGTCTCCTAAGGTTGTTCCCCGAGTTGCCCCCTTCCACAGCGCCACCGTGCACGCCCTGCGTCGAGGGTCGGCTCCGCCGTGCCCCTCACTCCTCCTCTTTCCCCCCCACCACCGCACCGCTACAGACCCTGCACATGGACATCTAGGGCCCCACCCTCGTCCATGGACCGCGTCGAGAGCGCTACTTCCTAGTGCTTGTCGATGACGTGCCTGACGTCCTTATCCCGTGGCTTGTCTCTACGTGTGTCCACCGCGGTCTCCCTGTCTTGCATCTTCACTCAGACCGTGGTGGCGAGTTTGCCTCCGGCGTCCTTGGTCGCTTCTGTTGTGCGAGGGCATCACCCAAACGTTCACCCTACCGGACTCCCCGCAGCAGAATGGGGTCACTGAGCGACGCATCGGTTTGGTCATAGAGGTGACTCGTACCTCCATGATACATGCTGGTGCACCCCATTTTTTGTGGCCATTCGCGCTTCGCTACGCCGCTCACCAGCTTAACTAGTGGCCGCACCCTCAGCAGCCGCAGGTTTCACCGACCCTTCTTTGGACCGGGTCCCCTGGTGACGCGTTTCCGTTCCACCTCAGGGGCTGCCTTTCTCACATTCATGCTTCTGGCACAGACAAGCTTACTCTCCGCACAGTCCCCTGTGTCTTTCTTGGTTTCCCCCTTGACTCGTCTGACTGGCACTTCTACCACCCGCCATCTCACCGTTTCTTTCACTCCCGCGACGTCACCTTCGACGAGTCCGTCTCCTTCTACCACCACTTTCCCCACTGTGGTCCCCTGGTCACTCCCCCCCTGTTCCAGGTTCCCCCGTCCCTGGTCGCACCTGCCCCTCCCCCTCCCCGTCCAACCCCGTTTGGTGTGTCTCACGTCACCCCCCTCCCGTCGGTTGTCCCGGTTGAGCTGTCTGCTGACTAAGGTGGTCTTGCGGCACAGTCCTTGCCGCTTGCTCCTCCCCCGGAGTTTCCTCCTCCGCCGCCTCCGCAGCCGTCGTCGCCGCCTCAGCAGCAGTCGTCGCCGCCGCAGTCGCA